CGAAATGTTTAAATATTTATTAAAATTTATTCAATATTTATTAAATATTTATTAATTATTAAATATTTATTAACCATGTATTCAATATTTATTAAATTTCTTATTATTTAATTCGAAAATATTTTTAACATTTATTTAGTATTTATAAAGGATTAAAATTTGTTAAAATTTTATTAACATTAAATATTTATTAAAATATTTAAGAAATAATTAAATTGAATTGAATTGAAAAAAAATAAAAATCTATTGCTTCTAACCCAGCCCCCCACCCCCACCGCAAAGAAAATCCCACACACGCACTGGCCTGCCATGGACGTCAATCTCATGGCAGGCACAACTCTCTCTATACCCTATACCACCTTCCATAACAAATAAAGTAATTGAATTCAATTCAAAAAAAAAAAAAAAAAAAATCTATGGTGTTGCTTGCTATCTCATGAGCGCCTCCACCAAAAAAAAAAAACCCTGCTTAATTTAAAGAATAAATTTGAGATAAAATGATAACCTTGATCGTAGAATAAATTAGAGAAGATTTTTTTCTTCAAGTTCGATTCTCGGATTATTGTACTAGTTTTATGATGTTTTTTGCAAGCATGAGGGGAAAAGAAGAACTTATTTGGGGAGAGAAAAAGATAGACACGTTTGGGATTTTAGAGAGAGGGGGAAATTTTATTATGTGCTTGATTTAGTAATTTCCGTGTGGGATTTAGCATTTCAGATGAATAAAAGAGATCATACTTTCAAAACTTTAAAATTGTTCTAATTTTGATTGAGTGTTATATCTATATGTAAACGTAAACTAAATTCAAAACACTCGAATGAAAAATATTATTCTAAAATAAAAAATAATCTAATTAAAGGAATTTGAAAATTATATTCCAATTTTCACGCGGCTTAATGTAAAGTTTCCTTGTCCAATCAAAATAGAATAACTAAAGTGGGAAATAAGAGGAAGTCGAAATCATGTAACTAATGGGGTAGAAATTTGAGAAAAAGAGAGGCTCAGTGCAAAACTGAATAATTTAACACACTCAGTGTGTGTGTGTGTGTGTGTTTGCTTTAACATCTAGTGGGGATTCAATTTTGATCCACTCATATCTTAGCAACTACAACTTTTTTTTTTTTTGAGAAAAAAACATCAACTAGAAATTTCAATGTTAATAAATATGTGTTGGTATTAAATTGATTAAATGGAAAAATTAAGTTATCATTATTCACTATCCCAAATCGTGACGTGCTAATGATGAGAATCGCACGCAAACATTATATTAATCCACTCTTTTATAGCCATAACTAGGGATGGCCATTGGGCGGGTACCGGGCGGGTTTTGAAAAACCCGCACCCGCCCCGCTAGCAAATTCCTTGACCCATACCAGCACCGTACCCGTTCCGGGTGTTGTTTTGTTATACCCGCCCCGCCCCATTTAAAACCCATAGGTACCCGCCCTGCCCCATACCCGTAAAAAAACTATTATTTAATATATATTTATAGTTTTTTATTTAAAATATCTCTAAAAAATAGTATTTTATAATATAAAAAGTTATAAATTAATAAAAAATATGTAAGTGGGTTGGATATGGGGCGGGTACGGGTGCATACATTTAAAACCCGTACCCGCCCCGTACCCGTTGCGGGTGAACTTTTTAAAACCCGTACCCGCCCCATTAGCAAATGGGGCGGGGATTACCCGGTAAATGTGGGGCAGGGTGGAGCGGGTCCCCAATGGGGCGGATTAAATTGCCATCCCTAGTGTTACAGGGGTTAATTTATCACCGAAATTTTCCCAACGAACGGTCTGATTTACACACTAAATCAGTCA